TAGTACATTATTTACAAGATACAATGGTTGCAGTTCATTGGCAGAAAAAAATTGTTGAAAAATGCTGAAACTTCAGTATCTGAGATCGGGAAATCCCCTTCAACGTAAAAAAAAACGTGTTCAGTGCTTCAGAACGGAACATACGGAAGAATTTCCTTTTATCAAAATAGGAAAGAATTGCGAAACAAATGCTCATTGTGAGATTTGTAATTGTGAGTTTAAAATAAAATATGGAGGAAAGAACGACATTACCAAGCACAATGCAAGTGCAAAACACGTGGAGAGAATATAGTTCAGCTAGTGGATGTTGAATTTACTGATCATAAAATACCTTGGACAAACTGCATTTCTTTAGGAGCTGATAATACTCCAGTAATGACTGGAAAAGGGGGTATATGGCCTCTTGTTAAAAAAGAATCCCAAGTTATTTATGTCAGGCTGTGTGTGTCATCTTATTCATAAAGCAGCTGAAAAGGGGGCTTCATGTCTTGCAATTAGTGTAGATCAGCTGCTAATTTATGTGTATTACTTTCTTGACAAAAGTAGCAAGCGGCAAGCTGCTTTCTAATATATCGGTACAAGATTTCAAACGGCCTGCTCCAAATATAGAAATATTTCGCTGGGCGTTCCTCAGGGATCCTGTTTGTCACCTCTTCTGTTCAATATATACATAGATGATATTGTTCGTAGATTGGGTTGCCACTCTAGGTTATTCGCTGACGGTCTAGTCATCTACACTTCAGCAAAAAATGTGAATGACATCGAGACCAACCTGCAGAATGCAATCAACGCCATCAGCACTTACTGCCGCCAGTGGCAATTGAAAATTAATCTGGCCAAAACCTGCTACCATTTGTTTGGACTCTCGGTAACCGGCCATTTGGACAGGATGAATCTCGTTGGTTCAGGAACACCAATTCCATACGGGCAGCATCCTAGACACTTGGGTGTCATTCTTGACAGGAAGTTACTGATGTCGGCCCATGTGAGAGACTTGGCACTCAAGTTCGACAGAAGATGCCAGATGTATCTGTACAGGTTGGCCTCCAGCAACTGGGGTGCCACAGCTCAAGTGTTGCGGACAGTATACCTCACCATGGTACTTAACTACTCGGCGCCCATTCTACTTTTGGCTGCAGACCGTACCCTGGACCAACTGTACGCTCGCCACACGAGGGCTTTGCGCTTCATTTCAGGACTCACAAGGAATGCGTCCAACATAGTGGCGTCCATAATGACGGATATTGAGCATGAGGTCAGTGAAAATAAAATTTTAAAACATCTGAGCACAAGGTGGTTAAGTATTAAGAGATGTCTGTTATGATGTATGTTTTAGTAGATATTGACTTGAGAGACTAGGAATATTCAGTTTGCCTTATCTCTGAGTGGCATATATTGGACTGAACGTGAGATAGCCTTATTGGTTCCCAAGGTTAGAACTTCTCTCCCTGGTATTGGAGATGAACTAAATGGTAGTTGGCCGAGTCAAGGGACTCAAACCCTCTCGCACAAACCCAAGCGTAACAATGTCTGCCAAGGATTCTTGACAATTGGGAACCACTGCTAAGTTTTTTTTTAGAAATCAAGAGAAGACAACAAAAGATGCAAATAAGGAAAGGGTTATAAGATTAAGGAAAATTTTTCTTCTCCTACTAATCGCCTCATCTGTTTATTTTTAAAGGATGCACTTCAGCCATTTGATGAAATTAATACTGAGTTACAGAGTGATGCACCCAAGAAGACGTTTAGAAAAACTCTTGAGATCTTTACTCATTTGTTTTGTTAAGTCTTCAGCTATGAAAAATAAATCTTTACCTGAAGTGAAAATTGATGTCCAAGAAAATTTAAAAGAAAATGTAGACCTTCATATAGGACAGGAAGCTATGGATTTTATTTCAAGAAAAGAGGAGGTCCATTTGAGGGATGAAAGATTGTCTATATTTTATGAGGGTGTAAAAATTGTTTTTACTTGTGCTGTTAAATATATAACAAAAAGCTTCCTCTGCATGATGAATTATTAAAGCATGTAGAAGTGGTAGATGTCAGCAATCAGACTGATTCATCTGCATCTTCACTAGATTATTACCTCAATAGGTTTCCAGCATTGTTACCTAAAGATGTTACAGCTGCAGATATAAAGTTGGAATTTTCATTGTATCAGTGTACTAACATTCAATCTTGTTTACAAGAAAGATTAGATGCCACATGGTCTGAAATAGGCAAGTTAAAAGTGGATGGAGAGGTTGCCTTTAGAAATCTGTCAACATTAATGATGTCAATTTTGACAATACCACATTCTTCTGCACATTGTGAAAGAATATTCTCACTTGTGGGTAAGAATCAAACAGAATTTAGAAGCAGAATCAATAATGAGACAGTTGAAGCATTACTTATAGCAAAGTCAAGACCGGGAGATGCCACTGAAAGATATTACTCTGATGCAGACCTTCAAGACTTAAAGACTGCATACTGCAAAACTCTTCAAACTGTTTACTTATCAGTGATTTATCAAAATCTCTATATATGTATATATGATGTTGATACTGTATATATGAATGTTTTTGTTGATATTAATTTAAGATTATTATTGGTTAAGCAACCGTGGATTAAAAAAATAATGTTCCTCTTTTTGGCTTCAAATTCCTCATTTTCTGTTTGACTGTTCTTACTTTTGGTTGCCAGGGGTAAGCTCGGACTGAACATTCGAGCACTCAGTTTGACAAGATGTATAACATTTATGGAACATTTGCAGTAGCACTGCTATGACAAACAGAAAATATTTTCCAAAAGCACTGGCAAACAAAAAAAAATGGTTTGGGGTCAGTCAGATTTTCTATGTCACAACAACATTGTATGCCTGGTCTGGATGGACCAAAGACCCATACATTTTATATCCAGTTACCACAACCCAACTATTTAAGGTGCTCTTAATAGAAGAAATAAGAAAGGCACAACTGTTGATGTACCAACACCACAATTGTGTATTGACTACACTAGGTTCATGAGTGGCTGCAATGTCAATGACCAATTCTGTCGACTAAACAAAACACGTGGTCTCGTTGGCCTCGTCGATTCCTAGTGAAATTTTGTATGTGGGCATGTAATAATGCATACATTCTTATGGATGCTTACAATCCAAACAAAAAAGTTGGTAAAAGAAACAGAACATTTGGGATGTCCTTGAATGAAATCTGTTTGTCATTTATAGGTGACTGGAGAGGAGAGAAAAAGAATATGTTTACTCTTACGGAAGCACATGCAAGGCTGCAAAATATAGGTATCACCACAAGCTACTGGGAACAATGTTTGTGCTGTCTGTACTTGCAAGATCTACAAAAATCTCAGTGCCTTCCCAGATATGACATACAAAAACAGGCCATTCAAAAAAGTAAAATAAAAAATTTGGAGCTAATTTTGCCACACCTAACTGTGTCTAAAAGAAGGTTCTACCTGTTGTGAGGACTGGCATACTAAGCAAGATTACTGGCATAAACTTGTGTACAAATGTTTATCAAAATAATAAAGTTATATTGGTTTTTTAAAGTGCAGTCTTCATGTTTCAAAGGGTTCAAAGGGTTAAAAGATGAAATAAACAACTGCCATCCTGTCTTGATTTGTTATTGTATCAGATCATTGACTTCAGCGTACATTGTCCTTCGACCCTATCCACATCTCGCATCAAAACATACTCCAAGACACAAGGGGTTCATTAAATGTCTTTTTCTACGCAGAAAAAGCATATTATTGAGTGAACCCCTCCTTCCTACATAAAAAATACTATTCAACTAAAGCCATACTTTTCAGTAACCATTCCCTTTTATCAATAACCTATTTTAGGTACCAATTAAAATCAGTAAGTAGATAACTCCAAAGCTTGATAGAGTTTTTCAAAGGAAAATTGTACATGGTTTTTTAAGTGAATGACCTTTGAAGATTCTAATTTCCCCGGCAAAGTCATTGAAGCTGCCTCCCAATGGCAGGAAATATGAAGATCTTGTTTCAAATGTAATGACACTGACCAAAACCCAATTCATCAACAGAAGCATTTTGATTAGGGCCTAGTTTAAATTTCACTAAATATATTACCTGAAATTTGTTTTCAATTACTTAACACACAAAAGATTATATTTAAAGTGTACAAACATATGCAAAAAATCTAAAGAAATCACTATTTTCTGCTTTAGACAGCAATTTTAAAACATTATTATCAACAAGAATTCCTTTGCTACAGAGAAATTAATGTACTCTACAGTTAAGGTGAATCAGATAGTAGCACAGAAGAAATAATCTGATTTAGGTATAGATGAAAGTAGAGGGTTTAATTGAACAGCATTTTATTTAACTCATTTGCTACTAATGCAACATACCTTGTCACTACAAATGTAACTTATGTGAAGTGACGCGACCCATTACTGCCCTTATCACCTATCGTGGTTCTATTTCATTTTTGTCATGAAAAAAGTGCTTTAAGTACTTCTATGCTATTCACACTTACTAAATAGAAGTCTCTAGCTTTTTATCATATTTTACTTTGATACGAACAAGTTTTGAGCTTGTTTTCACATAAATGGTTGCTTTGGTTTTATCCCTTTTCAATTCAATTTAAAGAATAAGATAAGTGAATTGATTCTATATTAATTAAGATAATTAAACAATTAGAATTAACAATCAGAATTTGTTGTAGGATTGTCATTTTTAAATATTAGTAATGTTACTAAGTCATTCTGACAGCAGAAATGGACCAGATACTTGCATCACTAACCTAGCCCTAAATAAATCATTCTAGAAAAACCTTTCAGACCGTTTTTTCTTTGATTTAAAAATTTTCTTGATGTTGAAAGGTATATTTTGTGCCTTTTAATAATCAAACAAATGTTACCAGAATTTTTTAAACATATTTGGGTTGTCTCTCTTTGTTTATGAAATAGGCTTTAGTAGCAAATGAGTTTAAAAGGCAATATAAATGGAATGGTAGTTAAAGACATTTTATGTTACTGCAGCAAAAATGTTATTTTAAAATAAGTTTTAAAAAGCTATAAAAATTATTCATTACTTACCTGTCCACGGCTGGGCACAAACCTTTTTAAGTATGGGTCAAAAATGTCCTGTAGACAAGACTTGAATTGCTGCTCTATGGGCTACATTTGAACAAGTTGCTTCAATGGGTTGCTCCTTCTTTTGAACTTGCCCTAGTTTGAGAAAGAAACCTCAGACAATGTAAAAACTAAAAAAAAAGTTTTAGATGCAGTGCAAAAGCTGTGAGAGAAAGGCAAAAGGCAACAATAAAATAGCAGTGCAGAAGGATCGAAAGCACAAACAAAAAGGTCAAGGAAAATATTACTAAAGACAAAAACAGGAGAAACAGATTTTAGGAAACTATCTGAACATGAGGTTAAAAGTTTCCCACAAAATTTAAGCACAATATTAGAGTAGAGCTAATATTACAAGATTGTCAAAACTTTGATAAAAATAGCTCATCTTGTTTGTAAAAAATTAAAGGTGAATCCTTTTTAAGCAGTTATGAGCTTGATGATTTTTGTTGAACTAAATCTGTTAACCTATAATTTATTTAAATTTGTGTCAATTTTAACTTTAAAAAATAGCGTTTGTTGATAAGTTATTTACATTTTTTAAAACCTCTTTCCATATGAGAGCTGTCCCCCTTTCTTTAGATTGGGGTAGGGAGATAGACTAAGATCTTGGTGTTATGGTTAACATTATTTTTTTAGTTTTTTAACATTAATTTTTTAGTTTTTTAATACTTGTTACAGATATTTGTTTAGTTTTAAAGTGGATCTTGTACAGTTTCAAAATAATCATAATACTGTAGCTAGGATGTTACATAGCATTAAATTACATGTTATAATCAAGAAACAAAATGCTAAAAAAAATTTAAGGTTGCAAAACATTTCTATAAACATAATACATTTTACTGACCAAAATCAGACTGGTAATTCCCTATGAAGAATCATTTTGCTCCACACAAGGCAGGTATCAATTGCATATCTCACAAGCAGGATTAATGACTATTACATTGTCTGAAAAATAGTTTTAACTTAGTTTCAACTGCATTGATATCAAAAGGCATTATTCATAACAAGTTATGCACAGTAGTACTGTTGTTTTAGTGGTTCTCAGACAAATTGCAACATGAATAGTTTTTTTTTAAATTATGATAAAAAGTCTCATTTTAAGAATTATAAATATGGTTTCAAAACTACTGTATCAGCAACAGAATTTCATCATGAAAATATTTCAAACGGGACAATGTTGCTCATCATGTACAAAGCTTAGAAAACACTGCATTATATATAAATCATATATAGGATAAGACACATAGTGGTTTAAACTTGTAAAAATGAAGAGAAAATATTACAGTGAGATCTTAAGTAATTCAAAATAATTCAAAGTAATTTCCAACAGAGAAAAGAATTGCTGATGTATTGTAAATATACATCACTGACCTGACAGTTGAAATCTTTGACACTGCCATTTCTCACCATGTCTTTTTAAGAGAATCATCACACACAATAGAAATCTAGATTTAAAAGCATAGAAAAGAACTATATAGCTTGACATTAAATCATAGTAGATAATTTATACATTAGCATAATTATTTGTTGATGTGAAAGGCATTAATTTTGTCATTACTAAAATGGATTAGTAATCTTAACTATTTTTAATGCCTCCTTTTATATCTAATAAACTTTAAAAGAATAAACCATTGCATCATAATACAATTTGAAAAAAAAAATGGAACAGTAGAAAAAATGGGATTCAAGAACTTGACAATACAACTTGATCATTGTCCTATGGAAATTTGTTTTTAAAAAATGCTATCTCAATATTAGAGTTTATCACAGAAACTCATCAATACAAAGATCATGTACATAAGATACATTTATTTGTCAAAACAAAAACTAACCACCCAAGAATTGAAATAATGTGGAAATTCTACTTTTACTTTTAAGCAACATTTGCTATTACCTTTAATGTTTCACATGGAGGATGAAAATAGAAGGTTCAAGTGTTAAATATTGGGATTAGTTATGTATGCAACAGCTTACTCAGGTAGATCTAGTTTGTTATGAAATTGAATACAACCCCACTGACCTCTTAAATCAGCCTGGTGATTATTCAACACCTGCTTTCTCATTCATCAATAGTTTTCATCTTTAAGATCACATTGCCTGAAACTTTTAAGTAAACAGACTAGATTACCCTGATGACATTTTATATTTGCCAACAACATTGATAATAATCAAGAGGATTTCAATTAAAAATTTTAAGATGATTACTGTAAATATTAAGTTTAAAAATAAACATCAAATTAAATATTTATTGCAAACCTGTTTTAAATTTAAATATTAAAAATTCAACATATTGAGGTATCACATCACAAATATTGGGGTGTCAAGAGGGTCAACTGTTCAGTGTTGATCAAGAAAAAAGCTGGATTGATTTTAAATCTGAAAGTGGAAATAATGCAAAAAATGTCAAATAGTGAAAGTTATTTTGTAATTCTACAAAAAATCTTACTTCAATGTGAAAAAATATAGAGGCCTTTTAACTTCATGTCATTTATAAAAAGATTATAGATATATGTGTTACTCAAGACCACTGTAGAAAGCCAACATTACAATGGAGGAATTTCACTTTAAAAACTTTAGCATAGCCAAGAAACTCGAAAGAGACAGAGCTATTGGGATGTAGTCTAGTATTTGTAAATAAATAAGAAATGCCCTTGATTGACTGGTGTAGGTATGTAGAAGAATCATTATCATTGTTGCAGAAAGTAAGAATAGTAAGATAGCCTTCAAAGCTAAATATTTTAATCTTAGGGAGCAGGAGTTTTGGGATGTAGGGAGCAGGAGTCCTTGTAGGGAGTATGAGTTTAAGGATGTAGGGAGCAGGGGTCTTTGTAGGGAGCAGGAGTTTAAGTATGTAGGGAGCAGGGGTTTTTGTAGGGAGCAGGAGTTTAAGGGTGTAGGGAGCAGTGTCTTTATAGGGAGCAGGAATTTAAGGATGTAGGGAGCAGGAGTATTGATCTGTTGGGAGAGTCTCTTGGTCAGTGGGGAGTTGAGTTATTGGTATGTTAGGGAGCAGGAATCTTGGTCTGTAGTAAGGAGCAGGAGTCTTGATATGAATATGATCATAGGGAGCAAGAGTTTTGGTCTGTGAAGAGCAGGAGTTGGTCTGTAGGGAGCTGTAGTCTTTGTTTGTAGAGAGCTGGAGTCTTGTTCTGTAGTGAGCTGGAGTCTTTGTAGGGAGCTGGAGTCTTTGTAGGGAGCTGGAATCTTTGTAGGGAGCTGGAGTCTTGGTCTGTGAGCTGGGGTCTTTGTATGGAGCTGGAGTCTTTGTCTTTATGGAGCTGGAGTCTTTGTCTGTAGGGAGCTGGAGTCTTTGTCTTTATGGAGCTGGAGTCTTTGTCTGTAGGGAGCTGGAGTCTTTGTCTTTATGGAGCTGGAGTCTTTGTCTGTAGGGAGCTGGAGTCTTGGTCTGTAGGGAGCTGGAGTCTTGGTCTGTAGGGAGCTGGAGTCTTTGTCTGTAGGGAGCTGGAGTCTTGGTCTGTAGGGAGCTGGAGTCTTGGTCTGTAGGGAGCTGGAGTCTTGGTCTGTAGGGAGCTGGAGTCTTGGTCTGTAGGGAGCTGGAGTCTTGGTCTGTAGGGAGCTGGAGTCTTGGTCTGTAGGGAGCTGGAGTCTTGGTCTGTAGGGAGCTGGAGTCTTGGTCTGTAGGGAGCTGGAGTCTTGGTCTGTAGGGAGCTGGAGTCTTGGTCTGTAGGGAGCTGGAGTCTTGGTCTGTAGGGAGCTGGAGTCTTGGTCTGTAGGGAGCTGGAGTCTTTGTCTGTAGGGAGCTGGAGTCTTTGTCTATAGGGAGCTGGAGTCTTTTTGTAGGGAGCTGGAGTCTTTGTCTTTATGGAGCTGGAGTCTTTGTAGGGAGCTGGAGTCTTTGTCTGTAGGGAGCTGGAGTCTGTCTACTCTATAGGGAGCTGGAGTCTTTTTGTAGGGAGCTGGAGTCTTTGTCTTTATGGAGCTGGAGTCTTTGTAGGGAGCTGGAGTCTTTGTCTGTAGGGAGCTGGAGTCTTTGTCTGTAGGGAGCTGGAGTCTTTGTCTATAGGGAGCTGGAGTCTTTGTAGAGATCTATAATATATCTAAATTATTCTAAATGTACTAGATTTAAATCTAGATAAATATCTAGGATTCTATATCTAATCTGGATCTAGAACTAAGTAGGCCTATAACTAGAAAAAGATATCCTAGATCTAGATCTAGATCTAAATCTAGACCTGGATCTATTCTAGATCTAAGTCTACTAACTTTACTAAGAGTCTACGAATACGATCTAGATTAGGTACTAGGATTACATCTCGTTTTAACCCGCGCGGCGAGTTTTTCGTCCCCGTTACCTAGACGCCGAGAATTTGCGGCGACGCGAGTGCTATAGTTTCGTAATTTTTATCGCTGTGTGTTATCGCCCGATCAATTTTCGTGCGATTATCGATTTTTCGTAAAAAAATTGACATTTCGCGTTTTTGTTGTTTTTTTAATTTTGTTCATGGATTATTCAAGATGGAGTATTTCAGTGAAAATAAGGTAAGTTTAATTTACTCCCTACTGTTTATTTTTATAAAAAGGGGAAAATTTATTGCATTATTTGAATTCTACACCACTTTTCTCTATTGTTTCAAAAAATCAAGTTGTTTGGACATAGCGCACAAAAGTTATATGCTGCGCAGTTTTGTTACCTCTATAGAAAATACGTTTGTTTACAATACGAAAGCGAAAGTGGCAAGGGAGGTAATAGAAAAAATATAGCGGCGAGCGATGTTTTGACGCCGGCGATAGTGGCGAACGATGTTTTGCCGCCAGCAATAGTGGCGAACGATGTTTTGCCGCCGGCAATAGTGGCGAACGAAGTTTTGCCGCCGGCGATAGTGGCGAACGATGTTTTGCCGCCGGCGATAGTGGCGAACGATGTTTTGCCGCCGGCGATAGTGGCGAACTATGTTTTGCCGCCGGCAATAGTGGCGAACGATGTTTTGCCGCCGGCAATAGTGGCGAACGATGTTTTGCCGCCGGCAATAGTGGCGAACGATGTTTTGCCGCCGGCAATAGTGGCGAACGATGTTTTGCCGCCGGCGATAGTGGCGAACGATGTTTTGCCGCCGGCAATAGTGGCGAACGATGTTTTGCCGCCGGCGATAGTGGCGAACGCTGTTTTGATATTGAAGGTAGTGGAGTAGAGGGGGGGGGGGGGAGGGGAAGGTTTGGTGCGGTATTAGCAATAAACATTCAATATTTAGTGTCTTCAGAAAAACCATTTTATTTATTTTGATGTGAAAGCAAATAATGTACTGTTTACTTTTCCAGATAGAACCTACACTTCAAAAAACCAGCACATCTCTACGATATGATGAGCAGTTATATGGCCTAATGAGGGAACACTGTAAAGAGGAATTAAAACTATTACAATAAATGTGTTCATCTTTTATTTAGATAAATTAAGTAATATTTTTTTAAATAACTTAAATAAATTTTGAAGCAGTACATTGAAAGTTTAGTGATATGAACTAGTTCTATATCTTTTTAAAACCAACCAGTCCAATGTTGAACTTCTTCTGAAATGTAAAATACTAATGAATAGACAGAACACATCTTTTTTAATTAAACTATATTTATAAGTAGACTTACAAGTTAATTACATTTATACAAATAAAAGACCTTACATTTCTAATAGATCTAATTTGCCATCATTTTTTTTACATATATTAGTTCAGTTTTTCAATGATGTCAGGTGCGTCGATGACTCAGCGTTTTACCTTTTTACCATATTTTACCTATTTGTCAACTATTTAGATAGAACCATCAAACACACTTATTTCAGAGCTTCACTCTGGTTAGTTTTTAGCTTTAGATTCAAATAGTTTGGACATAAGCTGATATTGTATGAACAAATTTAGTATTTAAAAATAGGGGGTGTACCCTGTTCCACCCCTTATTTTTTGTTAAACAGATAGATTTAAACACATATTTTGATAACTTCTGTTTAAGAATAGAGTTATCTTGAGCTAGACAAATTTTGAGACTTAAGTGCTTAATAACTCAAATTTGCCATTATGTTGCATGTCACATCAACAAGACTTCTGTTTTGCGAAATTGTATAATTTATCAGCTTTGTAGCAGTTAAAACAAAAATCTTTTCAGTTATGAATATTAATTTGATTGTAATAACTGAAACATCCACAGCTCATCATTCTCAGCAAGTTTGAGCTTAATTTTCTGAATAATTAAAATTTTAACTGAGATTGTATGAATGCACTGTATATGAAAAATTAGGGGGGGTACCCTGTTCTACTTCTGTTTTTGTTTTACTCTGCCCATAAATTTCTAATTTTATTGTTTATTATGCTTCCATATATAATAAATAAAGATATTGCAAAGTTATAACAAATTTGACCATATGGTTTACAAGCTAGGACAATTTTAGTAAACGCTAAAAAAAACTCTATCACAGAAAATGAGAAATTGAAAAAATCCTATGTTAAAAAAATCACATTTTTTAATACGAAAAAAAATCATAACTATTTAACCGTTTGAGCTACATCAAAAAGGAAAACTGTTCTGTTATTGTAATTTTCTGCTCCTTTTAACTGTAGTAGTTGTTTCCCTAAAAAACCAATTTTAAAAATTTATCCTAGTACCTAATCTAGATCTAGATCTAGATCTACGAATAATTCACTTACAATTCAATAAAAAAAGGGGTACTATTAAAAAAACACTCTAGAATCTAGATCTCTAGATCTAGAATCTAGATTAGAATTCTAGAATCTAGATCTAGACCTGGAGGGGAAAGTGTAAAAATGAGTTAAGATAAAAGATTAGCCTAGTAGATCTAGATTCTAGATCTCTAGATCTAGACTCTAGATCTATATCTAGATTATTCTAGTCTAGATTCTAGATCTACTAGTCTAGTGTAGTTAGTAGATTCTAGATCTAGATCTAGAATCTAGATCTAGATCTATTTTTCTAGATCTAGATCTAGATCTAGATCTAGACATCTAGTAATAAGTGTAGCCTAGAGGGGTGAACTCACGTCAGGAGAAATGGTTTCATGATTAAATGATCATGATCTAAATTCTAAGTTCTAACCTCTTAATTAATTATTTACTAACGGTACTTGTGTATTCATACCCCCAGTGTGCCACGTGGCTTTTGCTCGTGCGGTTTTATCCTAAACCTCCTATTTGGAGATTACACACTGTTACATTGTTGTGAGTACTTACCTAGCTCGATTCAGTGTGTAGACTTGTTCATATGTGCGTCCAAATCGAATTTTTGGCTTGTCTTATGTGCACCTTAACGGCTGACGCCTGAAGACTTTTCCAGATCTTATCTAGAAAATTCTAGATCTAGATCTAGAATCTAGATCTAGATTTAGAATCTAGGGTAGACTGCTCTAACTTC